ATATTATAAATCATGTATAAATATAAATATACATGTAATATTTCTTAACCCTTTAAGCTTGAGGTGTCCCACCGCACGAAAAAAATCATAATCAAATTACTACGCAACCCCTGAATGGAATAACACAAAATAGGTATAATTTTAAAGCTTATAAGCTTTTTAATGAATGTAATTATTTTGATCAACTCTTAACGAGCGCTGAGCAGTCCCTCTAAACCGGAGTGTACCACGGGCGGGACACCCCCACCCCCCCCCTGCGAAAATATTACTAATCATATTTTTCAAACCACTGCCTTGATCAACAAAAAATTGATATAATTTGAAAGCTTAGAGTCTTTGAAGTCTTTGATCAGCTCCAAAGTAGTGCCGAGTTATTTGCTGATAAATGTCAAAAAATATATATATATAATTTACAAAATATGTTTTTTTGTGCCATTTACTCTAATATGTAACCCATATGAAAATAATATATTCATGTCACCATTTTGCTTGTAACTTCATGAAACATGCTCAGATCGTGAAAAAATAGACACCATTTTTTTTAGATTCTCCTGATTAAAAAGAGCCCAAAATCATCAGTGTATCCCTTTAAGGTTAGGAGATATTTTTGAATCTTACCTGCTGTATGAGCAATAATAATAACAATGCTTGCCTTAGAAAATAATCTTGTGTTAAAAAGGTTAAGGTCATTTAATAGCTTCATCTTGACACTTCTAAGTTTAACAAAACTCTTTGAAGAAAAAAAGATTGGTGAGACTTCCTCATTGAACAGGCTTATCCTATCTGCAGGGGAAACTACTGTACATTCATCTGACACCTTAAGCTTCATGTATAAATGACTTGTTTTGTACTCTACACTAAGCTTTCTTTGCAGTAGCCAAAGGAGATGAGTTAACTATAACAAACATATTTTCATAGGTTTCAAAAAAATCAACTGGTGACACTCCTAAAAAAAATGCAGGAAAAGTAGGGATCCGGACTGACATGCTTAAATGCTCAGATTAATGACTTCCTCCTTGTTAGGAGTCCACCCTGCCAAAATGCTGTTTTTCATTCACGCTATCTGAGATCCTCAGCTCGAGGGGGAAGCATAATGTAGCCACTCCTTTACTTCTTGAATTACTGCCGTATGGCGCTTAAAGATATTACCGGCATCTCAAGAAAGGGTAACGTGGGTTTTATGAGCAGTTTTGCCCTAAGAGGCTTGTAGCTCCGCCATTGATACACAATACTTCTGCTAATAGCCTTTATACACATTCTGTTCACAGATCCCTTCAGAAACACAACTGTATCTAAATCGTTCAGCTCAAAGGCCCGATAATTGACTTTTAATTGGTCTTAATTCCTTTCACCCTGGACATTTTCCCCAAGGCCACACAAACATGTTGCATCGAGTAAACACAAAGTGCGGCCTGCATGGGAAGATACTGCCCCGATTGTGATCCGCTTCAGGAAAGATTCAGTTCTGATACTTTGATACTGAATGACTGCCATAATAATATACAATATTTGCATGCTACCCCAAGGTCATTTAAAGAATACCATGATACTACGTTCATAAAATAATGTACTTTTTGTAAGTGAAGGACACAGGTATATTCAATAGTTCTCTACTAGTGAGTAAACCAATATTAAACACAAATATTAAAATGCAACTAACTATATAATCAAGATTAATTAGGATTACAAAATAAATAGGCTTATCATCTTTTTAAGTGGAAGAAAAAATGCTTTATATATGTTTCTGCTATGTAAAACCTGAACATATATGAACATTGAAAACCCTGTTTCAACACAATGTGATCATTTTAATATTATTAGCTGTGAATAAACCAGCTTTTAAAACCAATGTCAAATGACAATGTTTAAAGCAATTTACCTCGAAAAAAAAAACTACTGAAATAATGATACTTTGAAATATACCATGGTACTGAATGATTGCCATATTCATATACAACTGTGTTTACATTCTACTCGAAGGTAACTGAAAGAATACTACACTGTAAAAAATGACCATGAATTTAACGGTAAAAGACTGTATTTCCATAAAATATGGTACTTTTTGTTAGTGAAGGATGAAGATCTGATTCAGTAGTTCTTAACTAGTGATTCATAGGTCTGTTGGAGTCAGATTTTACAAAAAGTACTGAAATCAAGATACTTTGATATAAACTTTGTACTCAGTTGGATTACAAGTGTTTTGTATCATATTGTTGGCATATATGTATATGTATATATATATATATATATATATATATATATATATATATGAGAAATATTGGGAGACAATCAATTGTCTTGGTAATATGGATTATTAGTCCAGGGGCCAGTTGCATACAAGGTTTAGACTAGTCTTGTTTGTTCCATAAAGTTCAATCACACTTCTGCCATTAACTTCCTAGTCATCATACATTTTAGCAATAATTTTGCATATGCAGTTCATGGTAGTAATAACAAAAAAAATTATTTTCAGTTAGTTTTGTACATTAAACAACGGTGGTACTGTGTCCGCTATAAAATCTGGGTGCAGAAAAACACGGACAGCTATTACTGTCATAAATATACAGGCCCAATCCGACAGCAAGTCATTCTGGGATAATTCATGTCTCAGTTACAGACTCATAGCGGGACAGCATGACATAAATCATAAACTCTCGTCGTCTTTATGAATGGATCTGGCAGTCGAGAAGTCCTTCGAGGAAAACCGAGCAAGCGTAGAGACATGTGATATTATTACTCAGCAGCAAATTTACTGGGACACATTCAGTTATGCATAATCTAGAAAAACGGTCTTCATAGTAGACGCAGATTAGCAGCCACTGATAGGTGGATTTGACATTGTAAACATGACCTTCTCAGGTCGACAAACGCGTCCGTGAGCACGCCAAGCAACCACGGCGATTTTTTATCAGGGAGTACGAAATAAAAACGACTGGCTGCAATTTATCAGCCAGCCAACAATGCAACTGCTCTATTTCAGCAACTTGCTAGCACTGAAATTGTGTTGCCATTTTTACAAGACAAACAAAACGCGGCTACAGTTACATAAAAACGCCGAACGAAAAGGCGTTTAATTGTTTATCCTATCTACAACGTGTTATAACGCGTGTTACTTTCATAAAAGCGTGTAAAACATCGCGTCGAGTGCCACAGATTCGCGTACGGAGCGTTAGCATGATAGCCAGTGTGCTAACACGCCTAGCAATCCTCCTCCCCCCTAAATTATAATCTGTAATTTCACTTTTTCAACATCCATAAAAAGTCACGTGCTCAAGAACGATACTCGTACATGTTTTTCCATACATACATAAACAGAATTATCTTTAATCCTCACCGATTTCCCCGTGTTTAATTACCTTAATGCTGCCAATCCCGGAATAGGTTTATTCTCCGTTTAATCCACCAGTGAGAGCTGAATTCCCATCTAAAGAAAGGCGACAGCGACTTTGTAAAATGTCATAATCTCGAATGGTTCGTAGCCTGTTGAAATGCAATCGACGTGATTCATTTGATCAATTTGGCCCGTTTTCTTTCTGTTTTCTTTACCAGAGGAGTGTGTCCCCTTTCCCCTTTCTTTGTTCTGTAATCCAGTAAAATTGAAAGTCATTCGCCTCCGCTAATCCCAGCCCAACTCAACAACAGCATCTATTGGCTGTCATTTACATACAGGATTAAAGAACCGCTGGAACAGCACTCGCAGGACAAATGCGTGCAACTAACTCTTTTGACATTGTGACTGTAACATGTCTATATTTCTCTCTGCCCCTCGCCACTGCCCCCCTGTTATTGTTGCTTTATTTTAAGAGGAGCTAGACCGTTGCAAATGAGCTCAAACCGTTCACCTGAAAACCCGTGTAACGTACTTGATCAGTTTCGGAATAGACACGTCGATTGCGTGACTCTGTAAATGCATTTATGATTGTAAAATAAAGATAAAGCAACATAGAAATCCCTGATGCCCTCTGCAGTGAATCTTAAATATAATAAATAGGCTGTCTGATATTTTCCATTACAAAAACTGAATTAGGCCTACATCAAATAAAATGTATTAAAAAACAAAAATACAAATATTTACTTAAAAATTATATATTATGAATAAAATACATAGGCTAAATATCCAATATAAATTACTCTTTTTAAAAGTAGTATTTGTTATATCCTTTTTAGTCATATAACGTATATTAAAAATGCTCTTTTGTTATCAGATAAATTAACCTCAGCAAAAATTCAAGTAAAATTATTCAGTATTATTATAGGAAATAACATATTTAGCTGTTTAAATCAGGGGTCACCAAGCTCGGTCCTGGAGGGCCGGTGTCCTGCACCTGAACCAGCTAATCAAGATCTTATAGGCATACTAGAAACTTCCGGCCCTCCAGGACCGAGTTTGGAGACCCCTGGTTTAAATCATCCCACTCTTAACCATGGATGAGTTTGTTATTAAGAACCAAGCACTGAATGGTTCTATTGTGTCCGTTTTCTTATTATTAGTAGTATAAATAACCAAAAGTGCATGTATTTATTTATTTATTTGACTAAAACTGTCTACAAACTTGGTGGGATGGTCCCAAATCCCAAATACACACATTTATTTAATACTAGGTGGCGCTATGATAACTATTTGTACATTTTTTGCCAGGAGTTCAGGATCAACATTTCTCTGAATTCCTGGGTCAAGACAAACAAAACATATGTCTCAGATGTAATTCTGCCTATAAAATAGTTAGAATCATGGCAAAAAAAAACATTTTTGATTTAAACCAATGAAATTTCTAGGTGTGGCCCACAATGACAAACTGTTAAAAATACCTGAGAGACATCAGGATGTTTAGAGGATATGCACCATATTTAAACCGGTTATGCTTATAGGACCCAGCAAACACAAAACATGTTTAGTACATTTCAAAATGTTGCATTTTGGTCACAGTAGCTACAACCTTTTAAAATTACAGTACAATTTAAAAAAATGTAAGTAACCTATTATTGGAATAATTATTATGTAACATGTTTTGTATATATTAAAATGGCATATCAATGTAGGCCTAATAATAGTAATTGTGTATAGTACAGTTCTTTAAGTCTAGCACGTGACACAAAATATTAAGGCAGCATTGATGATGATCTGTGATCACCAACTGCTGTCCAACAACAAAGGCTAGAGATCAACAGAACAGCCTTTGACAGTTTGGCTGATTTGTTTTGTTATGTCTCCACCTACCGGCGTATCATAGTAATGCGTTTATCCCTCACCTCTGTCATTCTGTAGCGGCTGCTCATTAGATTTGCTGGTGGAAATCATGTTCTTGCTTGCAGATATGTATCTTCAGATGGCCCTGGTGCTCATATTGCCTACATATTTTGCTCTCCGGATATTGCACTTACAATACACAGACCAGTTTGACTTAAAACATATATTGGCTCATGTCTTCATGATGATTTGTGGAATGAAAATTCCTTTGATAACTTCTTATTAAGCTTGTGATATATGGTATTTTAAAACTACGAGCACATTTGGCCCAGTGGATTTTGAGGAAAAGGCTATTTTTATTTTTTCACACACTCTCACTACTTAATTTAATTTATTTATTTGTCATAAATCACTTTTTGCATATGAAAATTAGTTTGATTAGATAACTGAATAACATTATGCTCCGAAGTGATATCTCATTTATCTTTTATCCAAAAGATACTGGAAAATTTATAGAAACTTGAATTGATAAATTACAAAATTATTTTCTTGAAAATATTATTTTTAATATTTGTGATACATATTTATCTTCTAAACTCGTAACAGTCGATATGAATTCTGATCTGCATGTTTCTAGTTCCTCATAAAATAATGATTTTCTTCTGCAAAGTTTTTTATTGGGGGCTAAGACTACACTATAACAAGTATTTTATATGCTGTAAATAAAACAAAGATTATTCGAGTATGCTTTACAAGAAAATACTGTTTTAGTGTTTTACTTAAAAATGTCAGGTTTAATTTAATGTGGATAACCAAACAGTTGACGGCAGCCATTGTCTTCCATAGTATTTTCCCCCCATTTTTGTCCACCCTACTAACCTACTGTAGCTACCATTACAAGAACTATAACTATTGGTACTAGTTAGAGGGTTAGTTCACCCAAAAATGAAAATTCTGTCATCCTTTACAAACCTGTATAAATGTATTTTTTTCTGCTGAACACAAAAGATATTTTGAAGAAGGTGGGTCTCCATTGACTTCCATAGTATATATATATATATATATATATATTTATTTATATGTACGTGTATATATATACAGTATATATATATAATATACAATTCTTTCACATAGTGTATATAGTGGTGAATTGAAAAGTGCTTATGTACAACCCTTCCGTTTTGAGAATGAAAGGAAAGCATTTGTTACAAATAATACACACTACAAAGTGTCTCTTTTGTTAATTTTTAATAACCGATTCTTGGGAACCATTACAGCAAGTGGTGAGTGAACTGTTTCCCAACAGATAAAAGGCATTTTTATCGAATCCAGCTGCAAGCTAAAGAAATTTCAACTGCAAAACTTGGGGCCAGCCCTATCATTTTCCCTATTCTTTTTGAAAACAAATGCTTTCTTGGTTCTAATGGCAATCACATCAGTATAAAGTTGCTTAAAGAACAAACGTGACCTAATTGCACAGTATTTCATCCACATGGTTTTTCAAAGGAGAGAGTAAATTCCGGAATACCATTGAGCAGACACTGATTTATGGGATTGCAGTTATGTTTGGTACCGTTTCTGTTTTAACATCAGATTTGTTACTACAAAGATCTGGACAGACAGAGAAATCGGATCAGAGAGAAAATGCTAAACAGTCTTCTTTGATCTTTTAAGGGGAGGTACTACACGTGATCCTTGCATATGACAAAAATGTTAAATATGCTATTTTTTTTACTGCATTAAATACAATGATGTGTGCATGTTAATTAACATGCTTTTCACACTTTTCTAAAGATAAAATTAAATGCTAATGAAAATCCAGCAATATCATTTGAGCAAAATGGTAAAACATTTGCTATATGATCAAAATGTCATTTCAATGCAAAATAGTTCATAGAGTCTCAAAATTGTTCAATTCCTGTCACTTGTGCGTGTAATACCTCCTCTTAAGCCCATCAAGAAAAGATTCTCCAATTCTCACCTCCAACTGATTTAAAAGAATGAAATGACTAAGCAAATGATTCAAAACAAGAAACAAAAGCTGTTGGTTCAATGTTCATTTGAATTGAACTACAGGTTGGGAGTTGCCATTGTATGCTAATATTTTATAATATTAAAAAGGTATGCACTAATATTGACTGAAACTGCAATACTGGTTCTTGAAGCTTCACGGTGCATCTTAACTTGCTAATTCTGCTGAACATGGTTGCTGAATACTGTATAATTCATACTTCAAAATTCATGTCTCAAAAAAACAAAAATCAACACAGAAATGAGCAGGTATGGAATAACGGAGCCTGTCTGTTTTATTTACTTGTTTGCTACAGTATCTAGTGACCAGTGACCAGCCCAAGACCTTCAAACCTTTTGCTGGGAGTCGGCCAGTTTATCTCTTTGAATATACCATTTTTAAAAAGCATAAATGGCAAATAAATTAAACAGTATAAATTGAGGCCAAAAATGTTTTCTAAACTGTTACAGCCAACTGAGAGTATAGCAGGGTATTGGTTTTTCCGAGGATTCAAGTATCCTGACCAACATTCTCTCATTTGTTAAGTCAGACATCACTGTCCATCTCGGAGGTAGTCAACAGGGTCGGTGTGTCAGTTTGTCCGTGTTGTACCACTGACCTTAAAAACCACTTCCGTTATGTCTTTTTATAGCATCTCAGATCATTTTAGATACTCTTCGATTTGTGGTTTCTGTTTGTTCCTCTATAAAGTCATTGTTTTGGTGTTAACTGTAAACAGAAGATGAGATGTCCAGTGAAGCATTAGTCCAAACGTCTAGGCATCAAATTGGCTTCATCTTTTCCCAATACACTTCCATTCTTCCCTAAACACCTGAGAACTGTTTTAGCCCTCCTCAGTGTTCTTCCTAGACAGAGAAACAGAGTTTAGGATGATATAGAAATATTAGGATTCTGAATTCTTTATGAACAAAGATCTATTAACCCCCTGTGTGAAGGAAGTGTCTGCTTGATGGATTCCGTTTGCAGAATTTGCACCAGCATGTGCCTGTGAGCACAAAGAAAGAGCAAAAAACAGAACATTTGAATATTTATTACACTGTTAGACTGTGTTAGTATGCAAAACAAAAATAGTGTCCACTGGAGAAATAGCCAGGAACAGTAGCAGGTTGAGGTGAGGTGCTAACTGTCTGCTGTTTACCTGGTTCTTGTCCGGACGGGTGCGCATGGCCTGCACTAGCTGGTCCACGTGTTGGTTGTGTTCCAGAGCGTTCCTCAGGGCATCTTCTGTGCTCAGCAGCCTTTGACGCAGATGGGCCACCTCTGTGTCTGAAGCAGATGGGTCCATCATCGAGTATCGACGATGGTCTGGAGACGACCTCTCCCGACCCTGATATAAAGAGTGTATTATATAAGAAAAATATCATATATATATATTATATATATGTGTGTGTGTATAAAAACATATATGTGACCCTGGAGCACAAAACCTTAAGTCGCTGGGGTATATTTGTAGCAATAGCCAAAAATACATTGTATGGGTCAAAATGGTTGATTTTTCTTTTATGCCAAAAATCATTAGGATATTAAGTAAAGATCATGTTCCATAAAGATATTTTCTAAATGTCCTACTGTAAATATATTAAAACTTAATTTCTGATTAGTAATATGCATTGCTAAAAATGAATTTGGACAACTTTAAAGGCGATTTTCTCAATATTTTGTTTTTTTTTGCACCCTCAGATTCCAGATTTTCAAATAGTTGTATCTCTGCCAAATATTGTCCTATCCTAACAAACCATACATCAATGGAAAGCTTATTTATTCAGATTTCAAATTTTGAAAAATTGACCCTTATGACTGGTTTTGTGGTCCAGGGTCACATATAAACAAACTTTTGCTTATTTTACTTTGAGATATACATAAAAATAAATCTTATTATTTATTGCATGACTTAATAAAATAAATCCTGTACATTGAACCCAAATTTTTAACATGTTGTTCGTTAAACGTCTTTGTGCTTTGATTTATTTACCACAAAATGAAAAAAGTATCACAAAAATATAAAGCGGTACAACTGCTTTTAACATTGATAATAAGAGATGTTTATTAAACAGCAAATCAGCATATTAGAATGATTTCTGAAGGATCATGTGACACTGAAGACTGGAGTAATGACGCTGAAAATTCAGCTGTGCCATCACAGGAATAAAATACATTTTGAAACATTAAAACAAAAAAAAGCTATTTAAATTGTAATTCTATTTCATAATATTACTGTTTTTACTGTATTTTTGATCAAATAAATGCAACCTTGGTGATCAAAAAATGTTACCGACCCAAAACTTTTAAACAATCATGTATATATATGTACATATATTTGTGTCTGAGAGGAAAATCTAATTAGTAAAAGAAACTTCTCTCAAATGTAGTTTAAACGTGTCAACAATGGCATGAATTGTTTGTCATAAAACAGAAGCAACAGCGGTAGTTGCAGGTTTCTGCTCATATATCTCACCAGCAGCAAAAGTTTATCTCGGAGGGTTTTGATGTCATCCTGTAGTTTCTGCTCCTTCATCCTCCACTCGGCCCTGTGGACTTCACGGCTGAGTTCCCAATCCACTCCCGCCGAGTGACGCGGAGATTCCAGCAATAACACCCGAAGCTCATTCAGGCTCCTGATATGCATTCCCATGCACACACACACAGACACACACAGAAAAAGACAATATATTGCATAAAACTAAATGAAGAGTTAATTTGCAAAAACCGATAACTCTTTTTTTAACTTACTTTTTTTTTCAGAAATCACGTTTTTTTATTGCGCATTCCAAATAATATCAATCAAACTGCAGTTGGGTTGTTTTGATTAAGTAATAATAACTTAAACAAATACAGGTAATTTACAAAATTAAAGTTCGTATGTTTTTTTTACATATTAAAAGTTTGTTTTATAGCAAAAGCAGATAACTCCAACAGTTGTTTCTTGGCAAAAGCAGATAACTCCACATTTCAAGTTTTAGAGCTTAAAAAAAAAAGCTTTGTAATCTCCTCAGATGACAATGTAGATGCCTGACAAACGTTGTTGTTGTTGTGATCATAAACTGTATGGATGTGATTACACGCAATACACGGAGCTTTTCCCTCACCATTGTAACGCGCTGGTTTTGCAAGGTTCCGTGAAAACGTTTCAGCTCTTATTTTCCTTTTTCGCCCTGAAGAAGATATCACAGGTTCATCAAGTTCGTCGAAATTATCCATCCTCGATCACTTTTAGTCAGCTTTGATGAAACTCCTCTCAGCTAGCACGTCTTTCAACGTGAAAATAGCCTTGTCACCTGACCTGAATACGCTGAATATTCGCTAAAATGGATTTATCGGCTTCTGTTCAAAAACAACAAGGGCGCGTGTCGGCTTCTGCAGTAAAACGTGAACTCGCGATGCCTTGAAAGTGGACAAAACCGGCTTTTTTGACAAAACGTGTTTAGGGTTCAGATCGCACTATATGTGGAGAATAATGCACGGCAATCAGCTCTTTTTTTTTTTTTTTTAAGTGCCGTTTATCGGTTTTTGCAAATGAACTCTTCAAATTAAAAAAACATAAATTAAACAGAATTATAGGGCAACATCCTTCGGTACTGTAGTGTCTGCTTGACCTAATCAAAGCCAATCAAATTGTAATGTGCTTCTGTACATAGTTCTCAATGCAAAGTTGTTTAAAACGGATAGTCTACCTAAAAACGTCCTGTCATCATTTACTCACCCTCAAGTCTCTCCAAAGCTGTACGAGTTTCTTTCCTCCGTGGAACACAAAAGAAGATATTTTGAAGAATGTTGGTAACCAAATGGTTTTGATTCCAATTGACATCCATAGTATTTTTTTGGTACTAATATGGAAGTGAATGGGAACCAAAAATGTTTGATTACCAACATTCTTCAAAATATCTTCTTTTGTGTTCCACAGAGGAAAGAAACTCGTACAGCTTTGGAAAGACTTGAGGGTGAGTAAATGATGACAGGATTTTCATTTTTGTGTGGACTATTCCTTTAAGGGCAGAGCCCAAACCCCTGACAGGATATTCACTGTCAGCATGTAGCATTGACTGAAAAGGCTAAATGACGTTTTGGACACAGTTTTAATCAGTGTAATTGTCTTCATTCACTGAAATTGCTCTTGAGTGGATTACAATCAGCTAACCATTTATCCTAGTGTATTGGGAAGCAATACAATCCAGATGATGGTCTTCCATGACAGGGATAATATAGAGGCTGCAATACTAATTTCAAATACACACTATATTCAAGTGTAGAAGTGTAAGTTAGATGATCAAAGCATTTCTTGAAATGTGCTTCAAAAACTGGGACAATAATTTCCATGTGGCTCAGGCTGTCATTATCATCTCAAATGGTTAAAAGCTCACTCACACCTGTAATAAATCACAGTGTCCTCTCCTCCATGTTATGCTCTTTACCTCTCTTTCTTCAGAAGCTCCTGGCTAATAACCACCAGCTGGCCTGATGCATCATGGGATTTCTTGGTCATGGAGTCCAGCTCTGCCTCCAAGCGTGTCTTTTCCGTAACGAGTCTATCTGCCGCCTTCTCTCCCAAACGAACCTTTTCCTCCAAGGCTACACATAAGACGCAGTTGCGTTTATTGTAAGAAGGAGAACAAAATATCACTAGCATCATACTGTGTTGTCATATATATAGCTCTCTTAGATGTTTCACACAAAAAAACATAACGAGAATGGCATAAATGTAACACTTTAAATGTGATAATTACCAGTTATTTGGGTCTTCAGGGCATCTACTTGGGTTGCTAGAGTGGATACTTCTTTTTCCCTTTTTGTGAGTTTCTCCAGAGTTTCTAATAGAAAGTTTGAAGTTATAAACACAGGCATAGAGAACAACTTTCAGATGTTGAAATGTCTGAAAACTACTGTATAATCAATTTTAAAATTTAGATAAAAAAAAAAAACGTTAATACCAGAATGATTTAGCATACCACTTTCAACTAATTTACGTACACTACCGTTCAAAAGTTTGGATCATTAAAAAAA